ACAGTATTAGTTAAAAAAAAGAGAGAAAAAAAAGTGAAAGATAAAAAAAAAAAAAAAAAAAAGATGCCGTCCACAACAACATAATGATCCTTAACACAATACACTACCTCAAGGGTGCTTTTGCAGTTCCTTTCATTATCATTTATAAATGTTAATCAGGTAATTTCTCTTTTCTGTGCTTAAAATCCCTCTCGTCCTGGCTTACTATCACAAAAAATAAAAACTGCATAAAAACAACAAGGCATGTTTATATAAGGGAAGATTCCAGCATCGTACATGTTTGTGCCCAGTTTTGTGACTCTATCACCAAAGATGTCAAAAGATCCTTCACGGAGTGCAGTGGTATAGTTCCCTCCATTATTGAACTTCAGCCTGGTGAATTCCTCACCTGTACAGCTGAAAATCCTACAAAAAAATTATATACACACACATATAAAAGAGAAATAGAGGCAGGAAAGCATGTAGTATGCAGTATGATAAAGAGCTTTTATTTCCTGCTTAAATGTTTCACACAGCAAATCCTTAAGAATTTTGATCCAAGCTACACATGCACGGTATCTAAAATTAGAAGTCAAATACTTCTTGAACGAGACCTCTGTAATGCAATTAGCTACAGATAAGCTTACGTAACATCAGATTACGGTGTCCAAGTAAGATAGCAAAGAGACAATATGCAAGACAAAGCGGCAGATATTAAAGTTCAATGAAAAGAGAAAGAGTATATTATCAAAGCCACTTATTTAGTCTTAGTTATTGACAATATTCTTTAAACTTCAGAGTGCCTGGGTCTGAGGGATAAGAGCTCTTTACTGTGGTACCTTATCAAGCCAGGGACTTGAGTGCCATGGGGCACAGGACCACTGGTGGGAAGAACAAAGCGGCCATTTGAATTCTGCACTTTGTCCTTGAGGAAAATAGATACCTGCCATAGAAGAAGGTACAAACACAGAAAGTTAACTGAACAAGCAGGAAAAAAACTAGTTATACCATCTTCATAATAAAAAGTCACAAATGATGACTCACCCTTATATGCATGTCTTGAAAGAAGATAAGAAGAGTTTGTCTAATCAGCTGGAATTCACCACTGGACAAAGGCGTATACATCTAAAAATACATATTGGTATTAAAAAAAATCTAAACTGGTGAAAACATTTATTTATGCTGGCGGTACTGGCAACACAGAATTGAAATCGCTAGCTTAGATGGCTTTCTTTGTCTTAAGTGGGCCTTCATAGCTTGCTTGGTCATTTCTAACACAAGAGGTGAGCTCTGTCTTGGAGGAGAAGGCTTGAGGAGAAGTAGTGACTCTCAGTACATCACCAGCTGCAGTATAAGAGTGTTAAACCAGTTCATATGCCACGTGATTACACTCTTATTAAGAATGTCCTTGATTTTCTTTCCCCCATGAGCTTTTCTTATATTCTTCATTTATCTTTATGTAGTTAACCAAGGGGAGCTTCTTTGCATGCTACTTTTTTTTTTTTTTTAAACCATATACATCTTGCTGCAAACTGCAGGAAAAAAAAATCCCCACAAGCAATATAAAATATTTCTGACTATATTTTCTTGTAACAAATGTGAAGACAGCAAAGTCCCACATGTAGTACCTCTATCAGCTGTCGGTAAGTCTCATCAACCTGGCTGAGAATGCTGGGAGTATCTTTCACAAAGTCTTTGATTGCATCCATGTGGTTGAAGGACACAAGGAGGATGTCCTTAGGTCGTGGACAGAGAAGCACCTGATACTTGAAAGCCATGGTCATCAAGTCATAGAGCTATGAACAGGGACACATTCATCAACATACTGTCTTAGGCATCAGAAATAAATGCATGCTGCTGTTGAGTGATAAACAGTAGAGGGAGACATAGTATGTAAATGAATGTGCCTTATGCTTAAACACAACAAAAATGTTACATTATACACTTGATTTATATTGATTGGCATGAAGGCAAATATAATGTAGATCCAATATGCATAATGAAAAGGCTGTGATAAAAACATCTCTGTGGGGTTTTGAAGAAATGTAACTGGTGCATGGATAGAAAGTCAATGCTTGTAATTAAAAATGCAAACAAAATATTGGGAGCACAAGAGTAAATTAAAAACACACAGGCTGTATATGAATACATGATGTCTTACCTTGTCCATACTAGCTTGATTGAGTCTCATTATGGATGCATGGGCCAACCTGTCAAACACAGTCCGTAGGGCCTTCTTGGAATAAAGCTCCTGCGGCTTAAAAAGCTCCTCCAGGAACTTTTTGTTAAACATGGTGGTGATGATGTCATTCATAACTATTCAGACAAGCAATTAAGCACAAAATGTTAATTAAGGTTAGACAAATGCCCTTCCCATACTATTGGCTCAGAAGCAGGCAGATTAGCGCTCTACACTCTAAATTGCTGAAAACGATTTTACCCAGAGCTGAAACCCAAAGACCCCAACAAAGCAGCAGACCTATTTATCAGGAATCCTACAGCCAAAGATGGGGTTTTTTGGAGGGTGGGGGGAGGTTTTGCCTTTTTTTTTTTTTTTACCAGTATTGCAGCAGCAATACTTACCTTAACTAAACCTTTAGGGTTTAGTTAAAAAGTGCTTACATTTTAGATCACTCAAGTTTGGGAAAGCAACATTACTTTGTGGCTAACTTACTGGGGGTTCAAGGTATATGACTAATTCACTTTGGTTCATGAAGTGAAGTAATTTGTCCAGCATATGTATACGAACGCCACCTTGGAAGCTTGAAAACTGGAGTTTTGGAATACAGACACACATATAAGAAAGGTTGTTACAACCAATGAAGCAGGACATTGTTTGTCAGCTCATCTGTTATTCATTGATTATTTACGCATGGCATGGGTTCAGGCTAAGCCAAAGCAGAGCAAAAGAGCTACTAATGCATCAGCGCCTCATTGCATCTTGTAATAATACCTCTCTTTCTGTCCGCCTCTATCCAGCCAGGTATTGTGGAAACTTTATCAATCCAAAGGGAAATGGTACGTAAGTAAACAGCTGACTTTAAGACTGCCACGTGTGCTGGTGGTTAATGCTTAACATCATCTAATATCATTTTACAACAAACCAGTGATATCTTTTAAACTGACAGAGCGGCAACAATACACAATTGTTTTACAGGGCTTCCAGTCACACTCTCCTACGAAAAGACATGTCTTATTTTGACTTTCTGATTCGACAGAGACACCGACATCATCAATACAGAAACAAGTAAACGAACAACATGCATGTGCACTTACTGCGGTCTAACATTAATATTTTTTCTGGAACAAGATAACAATTGTGTTGCTAGCTGGAAAGCTGCTAAACTAGCTACCTTTCTTAGCTTTGTCAGCAGGTATATTCTGAGCTCGGAGACGCTGGTCTAGGATGTACAACATTTCCCCGCCGAGATTAATGAAAAGCAGCGGCAGAGTCCTTGAAGACATGATGGAATTCGAACAGCTGAATCTTTCCAGACAAAACAGCTAGCTCGAATGTTTTAGCTGGTGGAGGTCTGTCTGTTTGGCAAAGCCGCTTCTGGTTGCCTGGCCACGAAATAAATAGCCAATCAGAGCCCCATGTAGTAAATACGTAAAAGAAAGGGGCGGGATTAGACGAGGTACAACCGCGTTGTAAATTAGGAGCTCACTGATTAGAGCTAGATGGACCATTTTTCACCATGTAGTCATATATATTATATAATTATATATAATATAATGCAAACCAGTGGTTTCATGGCAAGTCTAAGTATTCTAACCAGTACAATTCGGCTTATATGACAATTATAACGATATTATAATTCATAAGGAAGATGAACCTTTTACTCAGCTGCTCACAACTGATTTACGATAATACCCAACAATCTTTTCTAGAAGTTTTTTTGGACGTTTTTAGTTGCATAACTCTTACCTTGAGAAATAAATGATATAAGGTGAGCCAAGTTGTTCAAAAAATGTGATGCCTGTTGAAAATGCACTTTATTTACAATAATACACAATTGCTCTTGCAAGTTAGGGCCAGAGATTTAATACACACATAAATGCATACTTTCATTAAATGCTTTTTTTGTTTGCATGAAAGCTCCATGGGTAAACAAGTTACTTCCACACTAGCCGAGCATCATGAAAAACTCTTGTTACTGTGAAATCTCTCCATTCCTGATGCGGATTTCTCTTGCCATCCTGCACACTTCACAATGTCCACAGAAGAAGGTCATCAAGGCGTCGTTGCATATTGTTCCCTGTGGTTAAAAGATTGCAGAAATTACAGAAATGTTGCAGATTTCTCAATTGTGGGAAACGCACAGAATTTCCCATGTTTGCAAAATCTTTGTCTTTCATAAAAGCAAGACTGAAACTTACTATCATATGTGCAATACTTGCAACCTAAAGACTAATTGCATAAGGTACGGTATTCTGAAGTTTGGATTTTATAATAACTGTATTGAGTTGCATGGGTAACATACCTGAATGCCATAGGTTAATCTCATGTGAGTCCTCATGGCTGCTAAGCCTCCAGGCACGCAACCCAAACAGCAGTTTTCACCATACTTATTTGCTGTGTAGCAGCTCAGTGCCAGTGGACAGAAACAACCGACTGCACCTAAACAACACGAGTACATTTGTGAATGTCTAAAACGAACAAAACAAAGTGTGCATGCGCATATGATGTGCCTTGTACTTACAGACCAAACAGTCACTGCAGCAGGCACACAAGCCTGTGCTCCACTCTCCTGTTTGAACATTAGTCCCATAGCCGCCAGCACCTGGTTGATGGGTGACCACTGGGTTTGACATTTGGATTACTTGGTCTGTTTATTTGCTCTGTGATTTAAATACCTAGTCAAAAACATATTAGAGAGCATTAGATATTTGCACACTAATTAACATCACATATTTACAGAAAACCCTTCTCAACACAGCATGCAACAGTTTACTCTGTCATTTGAGGTAAATCAAATTATGATTTAGAAATTACTTTTTGGACTTTCCCTGTAAAAGATATATTTCTAAATAAAACATTGTTGTAGGAATACGTTAGTGTAACATGGACTATTTTCACAATATTGTATAAAACATAGTCATGTATGTGGTGACACTGAGAGAAAATTTCTCTTTGTTTTTAACCCAAAGAACAAATGAAAGCCCATGTTATCTTGTATCAAGGCAGCCATAACGGAAAGGCCAACTTTTAACTATAACATGCGCACGAATTGCAAATATAGTTTATATGTTTAATTTAAGAATATTTAACTTTTAAGTTTATCTGCTGCGAAAGGAAAAAATGGTGTCACTTACCAGAAGAGTGTGAGAGTATGAGCTCCACCTGCTCAAAATGACAAGTTGCACACCACACAGGAAATTGTGACGAGCTTGAGCTGTGAAACACTGGTTTGGCAACAGCCTGCACTTTCTGGGGATGACAAAGATCTGTGGCGATTCACTGGCAAAAAATCAGTCCATTAACAGGAATTGCTGCTTCTTTTTTTTTAGTCTGATAAAGGGTACAACCTCAAATCACAAGGTCACAAGCACATGTATGTGACTGAGAGTTTAACGTTTTTCTGATCTCATGACAGATCAGTAGACTTCAGGGAAGCCATGCAGTTAGAATTGTTAAGGCCACACTTTCATATGACACCCACAAATGCAACACGTTCTTGTCTTGAGGTTTTAATCTATTAGAACACTATATCACTCGTGTAGTGTGCAAAAGAAGGGATGGATTTACTCAGGATTTGAATATGCACAAAACTATAGGAAACTGTAAAGCCTTCTTTTCACATTAATGTATAATGTAAAAATAGCTTTTAATGACAATGCCGGTCTTGTTATACCCTATATGAGAATTAAATTAACCTTGCCTCTTGATGTTGTACATTTAAATCAGATGCTTTAGAAACCTCACCAATTTTTACCAATATAACACTATGCCAGGAATGTCAGGAATTCTTAATTTGATTTTTTAACAATTTCTCTCTAACTTAAATTAACTTACTGTACATTTAAACAACACTCAAAAGGATAAATGATACTGCATTCTACCAACAAGCATTTTATGACCCTAAACATAGTTAGATTAAGTCAATCTCATGTTTCCATAAAGCCTGAATACTGCTTCAACAGTACTCTTCCAGGAAGAAGTCCTTATCTGATATGCCTCAACTTGGTACAAATGAGGTGAACTGCCACCGACAGCTGATTAACAAAACATAAAAACAAAAACAAAACACACACCGGTGCTGATATGAAGCCATAATAACGGGCAGAGTCGATCTAGTGATAATATTTTAGCGCTCGTTTTCTGCCATGTGGTTTAACACAGACTATCCTCTCAGATAAAATGGAGAATTTGCAGTGTAGGTTTATTTCTAATTAGCATATTAATCCTGTACTTGAGTTTCTGGCTTCCTGGTTTTCTAAAATAAGATCTTAAATTAATACATCTAGTAGTCATGCTTTAGTTCAATTACAATTTGGAGGATTATTCCAACCCAGCTTTCTCAGATATTTTATTCTTATGAATCTTTGACATCTCCAGACAGTTCAGGTATCAGAATGACAACAATAGAAAGTAAAATCGTGTGACGGCAGCATGGGAAAAACATTTATTTATCTACATGATACATCACTACATCTGAAGGTGTACAGATTGTGGCTTTTGTCTCATTAGATCTCAGCTGCATTTGTCTTTGCTGACTCTGTGTCTGTGGAGCCTGAACTCTGCTTTATCTTCAGCCTCTGTTCTGCTTTTTGCTTTTGCACTGCTTTGAAGACCTGAGATGACACACACAGACAGACAAACACATATGACCAAGTGTTAGTGGGGGGCATAAAATAACACCTTTAATGTATAGAGAAGAGTTTCCAGAAGGCTTGAGTAATGCCTTAGATGCTCTATATGCTACACTTCCATTGCACTTGTGTGTAATGGAAAGTTTTAAGTTTTTCCCAACAGATATGAGTATACATTAATGTGCAGAGATGATGTAGACTTAATAAATAACAGCTTCATTTATTTGCTACCTTAATGCAGAATTCTTTCTTGGCCATCCAGCGACGGGTGGCCCGTCTGTAGTACTCTGGGGGGAAGGTGTATGTGATGCCCAGCTGCTCACACACTTTCTCAAAGGCATCGTAGCGAATCAACCGAAGGTGTTTCAAAATCTTTTTCCTTCGGTCAATGGCCATAAGCATTCGCCTCTTGTTTGCTTTATCCTAGCATCAAACAACACAGAATATTGAAAGTAAATACAAACAGAGCAAAATGCGCTAGAAATCAGGACACCTACTGAGGAACAGCTGCTTCGTCATGCCACATAAAAACAGTTGTTAATTTTAATAAAAATGTTTAGGCTATGATGTAACATGGAAACTTCCGACCTTGGCCATGCTACGCATCTTTTTATTTAATGTGGGGGAGTACACAGGATATCCTGTAGCACATGCAGGCCTCACAAAAGCAGAGAGGAAATGTGGAGAGACGTATTCATACATAAGACTTCCAGTGGTGAGCGTCAAGTGCTCTACATGTGTTACGTCATTTTAATCTGTCACCTAACAAATTTGCTGATTAATTTAAATGCATTTTATTCTCACCTTATGATGTTTTTGCAAATGTTCCTGGTAGTTTCGGATTCTAGCAGTCAATATAGCCACTGAGGAGAGAAAGAACAGGAAAATTTCAACATGGCATAATAAATAAAAGTTGTATCCCATGTTTTTTGCAGTGAAGAAACTATGTGCAACATAATGAAAAATATAGCACCTCACCTTGTACTTCCTCTGAGCTTCGGTCACTCTCGTCTCTCTGGACCTTTGCAATTAGCTGTTCTTGTTTTAGCTGTAGCTTTTCCTTCTGAAGATAAGATTATTATTATTAGTTATTAACGCTGAACTACTTGTTTATGCCTCTGCTTTCCCACAACCGGGCCAAACAATGTACATCAAAAAAGACAAACTTACATGACTAGCCAACTCCAGTGAAAGAAGCCTTTTGACAAGATCATCAGTTCTGTTAGCAGAAAATACAATAGTGTTAGAAGAGTAGACCAATCAGTATGTGTGTCCACTTTTATAAAATAATTAATAGAAAGTCTGAATTTTAATCATTTTGTATATGTTTACGTTTGAGCAAGGGGAACAGCCGCATAATCCATCTTCAGCATTGTTGGAGGAAGATCGCCGAGTTGGCTCTCAGGTCCTGGAGGAAAAATACTTTTTGGATTTTTCTTTCTTTAACTTATGTACACATTTAAAAATGCTCACATGCGCACACTATGGTGATGATAGTTCCTCTTAAATACCTGTC